TGCATTTTGTATACATATTACCTTTCATGTTAACATTTTTATTTTCTATTAACAATAGCATTTCTATTGTTATCTATAGTTTAAAAATACGATATATTTAAAAAAAATAAAGTTACGCAATACATTTTAAGATTTTTGTCATCTTCACTTAAGCAGTATTTTTACCGTTAGTGCGAACCCTAGTTTATCATGTTTGTCAAACACCCATCTAAATATTAAATATTTTTAATCCATAAGTTCATAATGATAGTAAAATATTTTAATTGGTCATGTTTGCAGAATACTAAGGGAACACTTCAAGGCTTTACTGTAGATGAATGATATTTCAGATCTATAAAATATTTCTACTACCAAATCAGGAAAGTGTGCTATTCAGCTTTCTGTCATTATAACACAGAAGATGAGATAATTAACTTTTTATGTGTAAAGCTTTATTTAGTTTTACATTTTTGGAAGTTTCAGTCCATGATCAAAAAGTCTCATTGTTTGGCCTGGTGGTGAGACAGCACATCATGAAAAGGCACATGGTCAGACAAAGCAGCTCACCCTATGGGCAGGACGTGAGAGACGGAGAGGGAGAGGGGAAGAAAGGGTGCGGAGCCCCTGGGGCTCCCTGTTCCTTTTTAAAAAATATATTTTTAATTGAGTTTATTGGTACGTTTTAGGGATACAGTGCAGCTACATTCATTATTGGGATCTTGTACCTTTACATGACAGGTCTTGGTTCTCATTTTTTCCCCTTATCCCTGCCCTCCCTTCAACCCTCCTCCCCTTCCCAGTTACAAACATTTTATTTCCATTTTTTTCATTTTCTCATATTTTTTTTGCTTTTCCCTTATTACCTTTAGGCTGCTATCCAGAAATCAAACAATAACAAATGTTGGTGGGGCTGTGGGGAGAAAGGAACCTTCTCCATTGTTGGTGGGAGTGCAGACTGGTGCAACCACTATGGAAATCAATATGGAGCTACCTCAAAGAGTTTGGACTGGAGGTTCCATTTGACCCAGCCATCCCTCTGCTGGGTATCTTTCCAAAAGATTTAAAAGAATCATACCACAGAGATATATGCACACCTATGTTTATAGCAGCACAGTTTGTAATAGCTAAAACTTGGAGACAGCCCATTTGCCCATCAGTTGGAGACTGGATAAAGAAGATGTGGTTTTTCTATAAAATGGAATACTACTCAGCCATAAAGAATGAGAAATTAGATTCATTCGTAGGAAAATGGATACATATTGAGGATATATTTCTGAGTGAAATAAATAAGTTACACATGTGCAAGTACCAAATAGTTTCTCTGGTGTGGAAAACTATAGCTCTCTGTCCCTTTGAAAGGTTTACCTCCAAGAACCCAGAGCCTTTCCCTCTGCCTCCCTCCCAGTGGTTCCTTCACTCCCCTACAGTCCTGTCTGGGGCTAAAACCTTTGCCCTGTGGGTCTTTGTGGGTATTTAAAGATCTAGGCTATAGCAGAGTGATAGGATCACAGTAACCACTTACCAGTTACTTTGTCTTTGGACGAGATATTGATATAGAAGAGCTCATTGATTGTGTTTCTGAGTAGTAACGCTTGTTACCAGGCTTAACCCTTATTGTTTCCCCTTAACTGAGACACAGTTAGTAAATAACAACAGTTAGGGAACAAGTGTATTTTGTAGGCTAACTGAAGCAATAAATGACCCCAGAATCTCAAAGGCTTGGAAAAAGACATTCCTTTGGGAATCATATCACCCTGCGAAGTGATTCTGCTCCCTGAGCCAAACACTGAAACCACAGATCCCTCTCCTGAGCTTCCTGCCTCTATGATGTTTGGGCTCTGCAGTGTGCACTAAGACTGGTTCAGTGACTTGCTTTGGTCAAGGGAGCACCTCAAGCATCATGCAGTCAGAGGCTGAGCAGTTGTCCCGTAGCTGCTCTGGGGTCTTTACCATGAACACCTGATGGAGTATTCAGGAACATACCGAACACCCCAACCTGCTGTGCTGCCAGGGAGCCCTGCTGAGCCAGCCCCTGACTGTAGATGTTGGAGTGGACCTCGCAAGTCCTCTGCTCCAGGCCAAGAACTGCCCAGCAGAGCTCGACCTAAATTGCTGGGCCACAGAACTGTGAAAGTGTTGTTTTAAATCAGCATTGGAGTGGCTTATTTTGTTAGTCTCTTTGTTTTTATGAACCAAGAGGTAACTGGATACTCAGAGAATAGAGGTATAAGAAAAATGTTAAAAGAATACAGACATCTTAGTAGCAACTGAAAGAATTTCTAGTGAATTTGTTTCATATCCTTTTAATATTAGAGATTACTTTTTGTTTCATATAATTTTGCTGTTAAAATATTCAGAAAGGTCTAAATTTTATCTTTTTCTCCACAACCACATTCTTTTTCTCCCTTTCACCAAACGGTATTAATTTATATTAATTTAATATGATGATTTGAGGAGACATTTTTGATCTTTGTTAGTGAATTTAGCATTAAATTGGTGAATCTTCATATATTTTTGCCTCTACAGAGACAGATGAGAGAATAAGGCAGTTATTAATTCCAGTACAATTCTATTGGAAGGATGCAATATGGAAAGTTTTTATATTTTAAAGAGGAGGTAAAAAGGGCAAAGGTATCATTTTTCATATTGGTAACCAAACACATAAGTAAAAATGAAAATTTTTAAGCTATAACTGTATAGATATGCTATTTAGAGATGCAATTGTCACTTCCAATGGAATAAATTAAGATTTCAAAGTCATCATTGTTGCGCAGAAGGGAGGTAAGAGCTATTGGGGTTTCACAGCAAACCTTGTGAGTTATGATGAAAAGTGAAAAAAATCAAGTAAAGGAGTAATCAAAAGAAGAAAAAGTAACACAGCATGCGTCTATGATATAATAGTGATAATAGTTTATATTTACCAAGTGATTTCTCAGTAACACGAAAGGATTATCACTGTGAGTCTTTACAAGTAGAGTATGAGGTAAGATCTTCTCAGATCAATAGCAGGATGAGAAAGTTAGTGCTTCGAGTGCTTCAGCCATTTTTTATGGTGAATTCTTGCAAAGCCTAGCATACAGAAACCACACCCAAGACTGTTTCATAGCTCCTGTGCATCTGTAAGAATTTCAGTGGGGTTGGTCTCTCATGCAGCTAGGACCGAGGTGGCGTGACTGTAGTCATTCCAAGCCTTGTCTGTGGGCGCCTGCCTCAGTGCTCCTACGCGTGGCCCACTGCAGCCACATCTGTGCCAGCCCACGTGGGTCTCTTATGGAGCACTGTCCTGATGTGGCTGTTGGCTTTTACCACAGGAAGTGATGCAGAAGAGAGATGGTGTCCACTGTCTTTTTATCGTCTAATCTTGGAAGTGACATCGATCTTTCCTGTCACGTTCTATTTGTTAGAACAATGAATAAACCCAGCTCACTCACAAGGAAAGGATGGATTTATGACTACAGCATGAATACTGGAGAGTGTCCATCATCGCAGGCATCTAAGAGGGTTCTAGCACAGGGAAAGCAGTTTGCCCTAGATCGTATGAGGTACTCCTGCCCTGCAAAGCTACTCAGTTTGGTTCCGGGGTTTGTGTTCTCAACAATTATGATACTATCCATCTGCTACCTGGGCAATATTTACCATTTATGGGACAATGATAGTCCTTCCGTGTAGTGGTCATTGTGGGAGAGATTACGGAAGGCTGCATGTGTAAGTGTTGACTTTCGCATGTGTGACAAACACATAAGTGTGTTATTTATTAGGTCCAGCAAGCCTGATATCAGCGAACATAAATGAGCTGTGTGTTAAGCTCAATATATAAGCTACCGATGGTGACACTCTCATTTACCTCCTCCTTTAGAAAGTGTCCAGGAATGCAAGAGAAATTGCCACGAGTACAAGTATAACCTTGAATTCACTTAAATTTATAAAAAGTCAAACTCCCGGCTCCAGAAGTTTGCTGTAATGAATTACCTGAGGTTCCCAGCCTCACATTTGATCATGATGAAGTGCAGCGTCACGTTCCTGGGATGGGGCATTTGTCAGGAGGGGCAGGCGCAGGCTAAGGCGAGGACCGAGTACAGTATCTTGAACAATTTAAGGAGTCATTGAAGTGTTTTCAGCACGGATGGGTGAGGCAACTGCATATGTACCTGCTGCTCTGAATTGCGAAATTCAGTCAGAAATAGCAGTATTTTATTTTCTTCGTGCATAAAACAACAGATGCTTCCTTTGCACTCCTACAAATTCATTCATGATGATTTAGGGAAAAGCAGAGATTTCTCAAACCCACAGATCAGTCAACGCCCCCTGTCTCAGGACAACTTCACCTGTCCTGTCTGATCACACACAGCCCTCTGTGGTTGGTTATCCGCTGGGCCGAGAGCTTTCAGGACACTGAGTTACTGCCTTGTCCGTGGTTCTGTTCTCTGGTGGTATCTACATCTGTTGATATGTGCTAAGGAATTAGTACATGTTTGTTATGCAAAAGTGGACTGAACTGAATTTGCTATGTGTTAGTTACTGAGACAAGCTTGGGTATATAGAAATAAGGCTTTAACCCTATACTTTTTTAGTGGAAAGGCAAAACTATGCATATGTATTTTTTAAATTTATTACTCAAATATTTGTTGAGCCCATGCTGCAAGTGTGGAGCTCCATTAGATGCCAGGATACAGTGAAAAATAACATGGCCACTACTCTTGCAGCTCTTGCGGGAGACAGAATAGTACACCGGTGAGTCTAGCTCAGTATATGTGGGAGGAGAGAGGAAGGCACGTAAGTCAGCAAAAAAGAGAGGCATGGAAAAGGTGAGGGAGCTTGGGGAGAGGTGTAGCCCGGGATCTGAGTTTAGAAAATCAATGAGTTAAGCTGAACAGAAAATGTCACTCTATCAAGAATTGGCACATTGCTTTGTAAAGGCAAGGGGAAACATTAAGTGAATGTAATTAGGAGACACTGATGCCTCAAGGGCGATATGCAGAGTCCAGTAAAGTTTCCTCTCTGCTGCCTTTCTGTCTTGTCAGCCATCTACGAGCAATCCTGTGAGGTCTACAGGCATCAAGGGAACACGGCTGGCTTCTTCTACGTGGACTCCGATGGCAGTGGGCCCCTGGGACCTCTGCGAGTGTACTGCAATATTACTGGTAAGAGTATATGATTTCCACCAATCCTTACCTTTGCCACTTCATGTTAAGAAGGAAAGGCCAACCACTGAAAGGTGTACCTATGAGAATAAAAATGCAAAGGACTGGCTTCCAATAGGGTGGTATTTTAGTAAGTGATAAAAATTATCAGGTAGTTTATTTTCAGAGGAGAGAGAGAGAGGACAGAACTTGTTCATGATCTTCATGATCTTCATGTTTCACTGAATCAAGATGTAATTATCAAGTGTTTATTAAAGGGTTTGCTAGGGACACTTTTTTTTTAAACATTCAAAAATGGGAAGAAAAGGGAAAGAAACGAAAAAACTTAAAAATCAGTGGGAAGCCCTGAGTCGCTAATAGGAAATCTCCTCTCATATCTGGCCCTGAAGACTATTTATCTGGGAGGCCCTCACGCACTCTGAGTTTCAGTTGTTCACCGGTGAAGCAGGAAAGTTGATTTCAGCCCTTTGGAGCTGTGAAGATTAAATGCAATCATGTATGTTGAGCAGTTAGCCAGGCTGATTATCCCCAAGATGCCTAAAAGGAAAAAAGCGGGGGGCTCTATTTTTGTTTTCCTGGCAATCTCATGGTAGCTTGTAACTGCTTTCTGGGGTGCATTTCACAGAAAAATGCAATTATTACAGGGGTTTGGAAATGGCATATAATCACCAAAGCACTCTATAACAGAATTCCAGAGTGCTGAGTCTTGATGTAATATTTATTTAAACATTCAGTTATGTGAGCATGCCTATCATTTTAAGTATCATTAATGAACACCTACACATTTTATTTTTTTGCTCGTCTGTTCCCAGCCTGGTTTTCAGAAATGTCAGGTACGTCACATAACAAGGGAGGAAAGTAGGGATTTCTTAATACTCATTGAGTCCTATGCTCCAGGCTTCTCTGTAAGAGAGGAACCATGTTTATGAAGCTCTTTCTGCATCCAGATTTTGTCCTAGACATGAAGATAAGTGGAGAAATTAGATATAGTCACTATTATTCAGGAGGCAGTAAAATCGCTACCAGGCAATGCTACAGACAGAAACACAAGCTTGCCATAAGTTGTAATTAAGACAAACTGAGTACAAAGGAGCAGACTTTTACTGCAGAAAATACCTGTTAGCTGGAGTTGGATCTACTTCCATTCCATTTTCATGATACTTCATCCCTTACAAAATGGATATATGCTCTCTGCTTTCCAATAGTCTTACAATGTGGTAACATTTCTTCTCCCCACCACCTTCTTCTTCTGTACTGAGGATAGAATTCAGGACCTCACATTTGCCAGGCAGGCACTATACTGCTGAGCTAAATCTACAGTTCCCATGTTCAATAACCTCATCAAGGAAAAGGTTTCTCAGTACATCTTGGTTACTTTAATATAATCAACAGAGCTGCATATTTAGCTCTGTGGTGCCACCACCTGCCTCAGAAGTGCAAGGTTTATATATATATATCCTTGTTAAAAATGTAGACTTTCTGGCATCAGATATTCTAAGTCAGTAAATGCATTTTTCATCTGCTTTTCACATGATTTAGATGTGAATTGTATCTGGTCTACAATTTACCAAAAAAAAAATGAGTGAGCAGAGTGACTGGGTGTGATATGTCCTAATGGGAGAGGTGACCACGATCACTCCTGAGCACTACCATCTTTAGGGACTAAGCCAGAAGTTTACAAACGTCATCCATTTTAACTCACACAACAAACATCTGAGAAAGTTATATTTGTTCCATCTTCAATGTAGAGAAGAAAAGAGAATATGATGATTTCATGACTTGTTCGAGGTATCGAGTTCTGCAACAACTAGTCAAGACTCAGGAAGCAAGCAGAACTTCTGACTCAGTAATGATTCCTATTGCTGAACCCTTAACTGGATACTCTGGATTGCATATGCTTAGCTTAAATAGCGTTTGCATTTTGTTATAAAAGTAATACATGTTAATTGTAGTAAATTTGAGGAAAAAAGAAAAATATGAAAAAATAGTGGAGGGACAGTATTCTATGGAGGTATATATTTTACATACATAGGCAGATACCACACTTGTATTTAAATTGCAAATTTAAATTTTAGTGTCCAAATGCAATCTTTTTTCATTTCCATTAAAATGCATACTGAAGTTTACATACATACATTAAAACAGTTTAAAATTGTTAAACTCTCAGGAATGGTGCATGCACATGCATAAATAAGGTAGGACTGGCTCATGACTCTCCTTTGCATGGTAGTCCTGTCTTCTCCTTACAACAGACTTAGCTCAGGGTTCACGTTCAACAGTCTGTGCAAACATGGCTACTGGTGAAGGCATCCTTGTATGTAAAGTGCATGGTTTTGCTGGTGTCATCCTGGAGAATGTCACTGGACTTGTGTACTGAGCTGATCCTCTTTGTGTACAAGAGTGGGCATCTCTTTTGATTATGATTGTTTTGGCCTCATGCACTTGCAAAATATATAGGCTTGGTTTTTGCTTTTTCACTTCACTGTTTGTTACTTCACTGTTCCTAAAATAGCTATAGAAATAAAAGTAAAGTTGCCTGTAGGTTGAATGAACAATTATCATATTTAATTGGCAAATAATTTCCTAATGAATAAATGCAATCGAATCAAGTGTTTATGTTTCAGTTAGGACATTTTAATTGTTACTATTCAGCACGAGTGGCTTGTGACACTATGAAAAGTACAATAAACTAGTCTAGGAGAGAGCATGAAGGAGGAAGGAAGAGTGATTAAAGAAGAGACAGGAGAGGGGGCCGGGGATTTAGCTCAGCGGTTCGGTGGCCTGCCTGGTGAGCACAAGGACCCAAGTTCAGTCCCCGGTATCAAAAAAAAAAAAAAAAAAAAA